ATCGATCGGTTTACTCATCGAGTTATAGGCAAAATTCAGCCAGCCCCAAGTTAGTCGTCCCATTGTTTGGATGTCAGTGGGCTATACACCGTAGCATTGCTCCCAGACGAACGGTTGACGAACTTCCGTTTTGATCCTTCAGTTTGCGGGTGAAATAAGCTTGAAGCTCAAATATTGATTTCTGTTCGCAGCGCTTTCCAAAGCTCCCGCCAAAAGTTGGCCTGATGAATTTTACATTCTCTGCGGATGTAATACTACGGGGCAAGCCGTGAAGACAGACGATTTCCCTTGAAGAAAAGGATGGCGACATTCAGGGCTCGTAAGTCTCATTACAAGCCTAGAAATGGTGCCAATTTATAGAATCTGTCGACGAAACCATGATTTGAATCAGATCCCCTTTTGGTTCTTGGCAATCCCAATATTAAAATCCATAGGCTCAATCTTCCCAAATGGGGAATTTGGTACCGTTAAATGGAGGTACAAACCCAGTGTTTTGAGCAATGCCCTCTTATACAATTGGCCATGTCGGACAGCGTTCCACAAAACCTGATTACACGCGACGAAGGTGCGGCCAATAGAAACCGACTTTGCAATTGTTCCAATGTTTGGTTTCTTCCAGCAGTGAGCCAGCTAGTCCGCCACTATGACAACTCTTTAATCAAGTCGTTCCCGCCACGACACTTGAGAATCAGGAGGAGGTTTCCTTTAAAACAAAGTAATTGTGTCGTATCTGAAAAGTCATTGACTAGCTGATGCAGTCTCCTGCGTCAATGTGGTCCAGATGCTGAGAAGTCTCGTCGGATGCCATAATAACTCCGTGAGAAAATGAAGACCTGTTGTCCACTTGAAGGTTTAGCGATTAATGCAGATCGCCGACTGAGAGCTCGGCAACGCGGGTTGTGCGTACCAGCCTTTGTGTTTCAAAACCAAAGCTAAAACGTTGTAGAAATGTCACCCTCGTTGCGTCATCCCGATTTGATTGTTTTCTGGCTGTTGATAAATTGTAATGCACTTTGTCGCTGCTTTAGTACAAAATCTTGATGTATTTTGTGGGTCTCCGAAAGGATTCCGCTCGTGGTGGTTCGAACTCAAGAGTCGATCACACTTCCCGAAGGACAAAAATGGTCGTTAGACTTTACACTCGGACAAGCAGGCCGATGAAGAGCCAGATGGAGTTTATAGATACGAATTAGCCCATGGAGATAAGCGGCCGTCTTCACCTCCACCTCGATTGGATAGATAATCTATCTATAAAACCAACTAAATTCACGGCAGATTCTCCCTCATCTCCGATACATCAGCGCGGAATGAGGTATTATTTGATTGTGGGGATCGGGTTTCCTTACGGGCGCAAGCCCCCAGTTAATTACATCTTAGATCTCTCGACTTCCTAGAAGACTCTCGATTAAGGACGATTAGATTATCTCCTTCTACAAGTGGGTTTAGTGCCAGGGATTTCTAGGTTCCTATCAAGGGAAATGTCCCAACTTGGCTCGGGGATCAGTCCATCAAGGTTCAGATCAACATCCGGCAGCCTAAGAAAGTGGAAACTGGAGAAAAAGAAGAAGCGAAATAGACAAGACCTCAAGCAGAAGCACGAGAGCAGGAGCGTGGCGCATCTATGTGACGCGGATGGGTAGATTTATAGCCTTCAGAGAGGGAGAAGCTTACCTCACCGTTTAAGGTGTATAGAGTGCTATCACTTCTACCCTACTCACCTTTGACCCAAAATCCTATTAAAAATGTATGTCCAGCACACACAACACTAACCATCTCGACACTAGACTAATGCATCTGGACTTATTCCTTGTCTGACAAGGAAGCCAGCTAAAACTCCCTATCGTGTAAAAAATCCATGTATTCCGGTCTGTATGAGAATGGGTGGGTAGTTTAGAACCTGAAATTTGGGACTCGAACAACTAAAGAGAAATTTCCTAAGATCCCGCACTTATGCAGGTGCTTAAAATTGCTCTAAACTAATGCACTTAAATCTTGACTTTTAATTATTACTAATGCAATTTATGCTAGATCAAAGTCTTCCCAATTAGTGGTTTGAAATTTTTAAAAAAGGCTTATAGAAAATAGTCTTTGAATGACTAAGCTATCCCCGGTCCGGCACTCATCTCATAGGCCAGATTATCCGGACTTACCGCAGGCGGGGACAGTTTGTCTAGGAGGTTGAGAAATGCATGTATGCCCACCCGGACGATTCCGGCTATTCCCTAGAGTCGTTATGTGCGTTCTGATGTGAGTTAATCTAAATTTTATTAAATAATTGGCCGAGTAGAAAAAATTTTATCCTAAAGAGCCAAGCGGTCAGACACAAAGACATCATGCCCAAGAAGAAACCTATAAAAAGCATGCTGGTCCTCTACTGCGCCAACAAATTAAGTAAATCACCAACACAGGAAAAACAAAATCCCCGAAAAGGTGTCCATGGAAGTTGCATATCAATATTACATCACAGCGAGCTACAGTAAGTTAAGGTGCCGGGCTCCCAGACACAAACCCGGACAACGACGCAATCTAGAAATAAGCGATTTCATCTTAACTCTTCGTCTTCCGTCTTCCTCGATTCGTCTTTGGATCTTCTTCATTCTTCAGCTTCCTACGTACGTGTACTCTCCAAAAAGGATGATCCAAATGAAAAAGGAAAACCCCCCTGTAGGTTTACTTTTCCCTTTGGATTCCTACTCATCCTTAAAAAATGCCCCGATTTTAAGACTTTTCAACATTATTATTAAATAACATGACCATACTATTAAAAAATAAAGAAAATCTAGACTCTCCTGCCAGGGGTTATCCTTAAGCATGTTAATTAATAAAAATTTCAACCAAGCAGTATATCATTGGAATAAGAAAATTGCTGCACATCAAATCCACTTGGCGTGC